TTTATGGTATTTAATATAAATTAAATTATGAACTCATATGTAAGTTTATAATTTATGATATTTAATATAAAATAGAATATTTAACATTCTCAACTATGTGTAGCCATGTTTCTCTCTTCTTTGAACTTCAGGTTAGATTCCCCACAGTTTAGCCCTAAGTCGTTTTCATGAAGTTTGGTTTGATCGTTTAGACCTCCCAGCTAAAGTGTTAAGCTCTAGGATGACCAGGACTGATGTCTATTCAAGTCCTTTGCCTGTTTTTTTATTAGGTTGTTTGCCTTTTTTGTTGTTAAGATGTAGAGGTTCTTTATATATTCTGGGTATTAAACCATTTTCCAATATATGACTCCCAGAAATTTTCTCCCAACTTGTAGGTTGTCTCTTTGTTGATAAAGTCCTCTTTTTTTTTTAATTGTTGTTGTTGTTGAGACTATGCACAGCAAGACATACACCACTTCATCTGTTTCTACATGTACAATTCAGTGACATTGATTACATTCTTCTAGTTGTGCAATTTTTCTTACCCCCTTTTCTGAGTCATTCCTCCACCATTAACATAAATTCAATGCCTCCTAAGCTTCCTCTCCAGTCTTCTGAGTTGCTGTTGTGAATATGATCCCATATAGATAGTTCTTAAAAGAGCATAATGCTCAAGGCAGACAATTTTTACTAGTTAAGCTAAGCAATTGTTTGGTTTTAAGAAGACTTCAGGAATATTTTTGGTTTAAGGTTTAAAGATTACCTCAGGTCAGTAGTTTTGATGGTTCATAAAGTCCTTTGATGCACAAAAGTTTTTAATTTTGATGAAGTCCAGTTTATCTGTTTTCTCTTTTGTTTATGCTTTTGGTGTCATATCTAAGAATCTGCTGTTAAAAACTTGGTACGAAAGCATTATTCCTTATGTTTTTTTCTTAGAGTTTTATGGCCTTAGTTCTCACACTTAGGCACTTGATCTATTTGAGTTAATTTTCATATGTGGTGTGATATGTGGGTCCAACTTACTTCTTTTGCATGTGGAGATCCAGTTGTCCAGCACCATTTGTTGAAGAGACTCTTCTTTCCCGATTGATAGGACTTAGCCCCCTTGTCAAAAATCAATTGCATGGGTTTATGTCTGGACTCTCAATTCTATTACATTGATCTGTATACATCTATCAATTTCTGTGTTGCGTTTTGTTAGCTACTTCTGTTTCTCCTTTTAAAAATTTACCAGTTGAATATTATAAAGATTTTAAAAAGTCATGTTTATTATTATAAATAATTTTTCAGCAGTAATTATTGTTATCCAGGATTTCCCACTATGCCGCAAACACATGTTTTATCAGATCTAAATTATCACCTAATTTAAATTTTAGGCTCTTATGTCAAGTTATATCTGACCTATAGATTCCTAAAAATAAAATTCTGTGTACATTTGACCCTGATTCTACCTACCTTAATATAAAACTCCAAAATTCTTTGCTGGAGCATGTTGCTAGACCCAGACATGAGGACTTACCAGGGTTTAGGGATTTGCCTGATTGAGTTTTCAAAGTTTGAGTTTTTTTAAATTCCACAAAATATCAATAGACGAAATTAAGAAACTTGAGGTCCCTCAAATGATGATCAGAGCCTCAAAATGTAAACATCTCAGAGTGTAGTGATTGCCTTTAAGAGAATCAGAACTAGATTATTATCACAAACATTAATTTTAACCTAAAATGCAGCATTAGTACAGACCACAGGAAACAATAATCTGTCACTATTGTGGTATCAGAATCTCATATGACAAATAGTTTAATGTTTTCTAGTGATCGACTGTAGTTACCATGTTTCATTTGGGGTTACTAGCTGTTGCTTCATATCTCAGTCTCCTCAACTTTAATCTAAATTAAATATGTGCCTTAAAATGAATGAAACTATCAGTTGTAACAGTGGAAGGACAGGAGAACTGTGACTCAGAGAGAATATGAAATGTCTTGAAAGCTAGTAAGGCAAGGCAAGGTAATTCGTTAGTTAAGGCCAGGTTTCCTCAGGAAACCTTTTCTCATATTCTTGACCCCCACCTGCCTGCTTCCATTTGTCTCCCTGTACCTGGAGGGCCCGTGAGGCTAGAGGAGGAAGTCAGTCCCTCTTTCACCCATCCTCAAGTCCACTTGCTCCTAGGTTGAAGTGGTGGGTCTAGTCTGTCAGTCAGCCAACAAATACCTAGTGAAAACCTACTCTGAAACAGGGACAGTGCCAGCCATTGAGTGTTCAGACACAGTCCTCCCCGTTCATGAACCTTACCTTCTGGTGGGCATGGTGTGCTATTTCATGGACTGTGATTCTCATGGTGGGAGGTAGGGAAGATGGGTCAGAATCGCATGCAAAGAAGGCCTTTTCAGTCTGTACATGTTCCCGCTGCAAATTCTGATAGACTCCCTTCCTCTGCACACTGTTCTGTCTGAGGGTCCCTGCTGCTGCTGAAGGATGTTACTGATGGGAGCATGTTCTCCTGTGAGTAGTTAGGAGGTAGAGAAAAGGCCACATGTCACTCATTCTACAGGTATCAGCACAGGTGTTCCTGCACACTGAGTGCCACACACTAAAAACCAAAAAAAAGAAGAAGAATGCATAGGACCACATAAATATATAGTATCTATTCCTTGGTTTTCAAGATGTTATGTTAATAATGAACTTGGGGGCCTTAGACCTGAGGCATACTGGGCCCTTCACGTGCAAAGCTGTGCAGAGAGGTACGTGAGCCCTGTCCACATCCAGGTAGGCCCCAGCAGGGCGGCCCAGCAGTCCGCAGCAGGGGAGCCAAGGGCTGCAGGACTGGACAGTGATGCGCCCCAGGAACGTCCAGTCCAGCCCCAACAGGGAAGTGTCCTCTGAAAATTAGGTGAAGCAGCCAGTGATGGTGTGAGTCCTGTCTACGGCCTCCAAAAAATACCCAAACCCATTGCTTTCAAGTCAATTCCAGCTCACAGAGATCCTGTAGGACAGAGTAGAACTGTCCCATAGGATTTCCAAGGAGCGGCTGGTAGATTTGAACTGCTGACCTTTTGGTTTACAGCTGTAGCTCTTAACCAGTGCGCCACCAGGACTCTTGTCTACGGACTAGTGGGTAGGAAAATGAACAGAAACTGATAAGAAATCTACAGCCCCGTACCGTAGAGCAAACTGGCAAAAAGGAGAGTATACTCGGCTGATTTTTTTTTGTTTTCTGGATTTATTTGACAACGAAAAAGATTCTAGGAAAATGGGAGGGAGGGTCATATGCTGTAATTGTCTGAGCCAATCCTGTGGCCTGAGAGCATGAGCTGTTTCCTGGCCCAGTAAGGACTAGCTGAGGAATTGGGGTGAGGCGCGGCCTGCAGGTACGGCAAGCATTAATGGACCCAACTGTGAAGAGCTAGGGAAGGCAGGAAAAAAAACAAGTGAGGACTAACAGATATGTGGACTCAGGATACTGAGTTAGGACGTCTACCAACAAGTCACATCACTGTGTGTAGGTGGTCACAGTTATTCAGATCTAAGGAGGTGAGTCAGGAATGTAGTAGTTATTGAAGGAGATACAATGGCTTATGATAAGCTCTGCAAAGAAATTGCTACATTTGAAACTCAGAAAGAACTAATAATACAGATATGCTAACATTAAGTTATATTTGTATACCGCTTTATAGGAAAGTTGTTTTACATATCATCCCAGTTAATCTTGACACACAGTCTATGATACGGAAACCAAGTCCTTAAAAAGTTGGTGTGACTTACTCTGAGTCATACTTTTACTATGTGGCAGAGCTTGGACTTGAACTCCAGGTCATCTTTCCCTTCCCACTGATAAATATACATTGTGCAAGCTCTCTAGAATGGCAGTATTTGGAGAACCTGCATAATTCTTCATTATTTCCTAGGTTCTCTCTCAGCTACAAGTTAGGCTTTACGGATTTTCAAAATACTATGTAAAATCTTCTTTTACCAAAAGAAAAAAATGTGTGTGTGTGTGTGTATACAAACACATACATGTATACGTATACATACCAGGGTTGTGACAGGAGATTGATTCTGAGTGCTAAACTGATTTACCATTTTCTTTTTTTGCATTTAATTACATTGATAACATGCAGTGTAAACAAGGATATAATTTATTCAGGTACAAATAATTGGCACGTTGTTTTCTAGCAAGTTGTTGATACATGTTATACATTAAACCTTTTTTGTATTCTTGAAATAACTAGTTTACACATATTGTGATAAATATGCATCTATTTCTACCGCAGGCGTTTTCACAAAATAGTCTCATTCTTTGATGGAACACCTTCCCTGGCCTTGTGGGCCCGAAAGCTGCCTTGCACAGTTCCAGTCCAGGAGTACATATTATTGGCCTCTGTGCTAGGCAGAAGGGCAGCCATTAAACTTCTCCGTGTGCCTGATAGGGTGCCACTTCTCTCTGTCTTAAATTGTTAAGCATCTTGAAACAAGTCAGCAACTAAACCTTTCAGGCTACTTGAAGTGTGAGTAGAAGTGGAACAGGTCAAAGAGTGAGATGGTCAATGTAGAGAGCCACATGTGTGCGGCCATGGCCGTCAGGACTCCTGTTTATTTCTTCTTTGGATGTGTACAGTTGTATGGTCTCTGCAGACCCTGCTGAGCTCCGGACAACAGACCTCTGTTATCCTAGTTTGGGGACTCTATTGAGTAGAAACTAATTGTGCCATGTTGTATAGCAGTTTTGTAATCTAGGAAAAAATGCCTGTAAGGGACTAGCATGAAACCACTAAACTCATTTTATCAGCTGCCTACAAAGGGATCTGAGCCACAGGTTCTTCAGGTGAAAAGTCAGTGTTCTGGCCCCTGCTTCCAGCAGCGCCCCCCCACCCCCCCATTCAATGGCAGTGGGGATAGAATCTAACTTTTTTGTAGCCACATCTGATCCCACTAGGGATTTTAAAAAACCACTGCACTAAAGATGTTTCTGTGTCACTCGGTCTTGAATAGCACTGCCATTTAATTCACACTTGTGTTTGTTGTAGAGAAAGCAGCGGCTGCCAACATAGATGAAGTGCAGAAGTCAGATGTCTCCTCTACAGGGCAGAGTGTCATTGACAAGGATGCGCTTGGGCCTATGATGCTGGAGGTAGCACACCCTCATTTTGGTTCTCTATTTTAATATGTTGTTGATATTCACATTATTAAATTTAATTTTTAGGGGAATGAAATTTTAGGATGATCCACACTTAATTTTCACTCTTAAGGTTGAAGTACTGTTGACCTCATGAGCTTACTAATATCCATCTGTGGAGTCCCTGGGTGGCGCAAACAGTTAAGCATTGGCTACTAAACGAAAGGTTGGTAGTCTACCCAGAGGTGCCTCAGAAGAAAGTAGGTTTTTTGGCAGTCTACTTCCAAAATATCAGAGCCACTGAAAACCCTGTGAGTACAGTTTTACTCTGACATACATGGGGTCTCATGAGTCAGAATCACCTTGATGGCAGCTGGTGTGTTTCGTTTTAATCTGTCTACCCATTATCTATCTATTATCTGTCTCTATAAGTGTTCCTACTCCTGCTTCCAATGTATGTGTGTATGTTTGTGTATATGTGTGTAGTGTGTGCATGTATAATATTTTAATATTAACAATACAAGATTAAATTAAGCTGCATTAGAATATAAGTTGACAGATTTCAACTGCCAGCCGAGCATCCATTTTAGAAAACCATGTTTACAAGTGTTATTAAATTCTGTGCTGATTCAAAATTAGTTTGACATGTTCCCAAAATTCTTAAATTTTACATGTTCGTCCTGTAGGTGCCTGTATACCCAGGTCAACATTTGAAGACCAAAGAGGAGGTTGATGCTTTTTTTAAATGCTACTTCGAACTTGTTTCTGTATCTGATCGAGAGATGAAAATTAAAATAATGGCTATAATGAACTTTTTAGATAAGGATCATAAGTGTAATGGTTGGTCTTAACTGCTTGTTCTTTAGTGCTTTTAAGAAGTTTTATGGCCAGACTACTGCCTAGAATTTGTAAAGTCCGGCTTTCCTGTTTTATTAACTAGTACAGTATTAAATACCAGGTGCTTTGCTGTACCTGTTCCAAAATTACAATTCAAGTCGGTGAATATATAGCAAGAAGCAGAGGAGCCCTGAGACATAAATTTATGTCAGTTCTCAGGATAATTTACTCTATTGGTGATAATGATGAGGTTGAAAAGTACCACGTGGCTAGAAGCTTTGCAGTATTGTCATTGGAGAATTGGTTAGCTTGTTGCATCAACCACAGATATATAAGAAATCAGAATTTTTAAAACAATGATCAACCAATGGTTTCTCAACCTTATCACCCCTCTTTTTTTCAGTAAGTGCATAAGGTGATTTTTATTTTTAGAAAATGTAGTTCTGTGAAGATTTACCATATAATTTGAAGTGGATGAGGCACAGTAAGGAGCCCTGGGGGGCGCAGTGGTTAAGCACTCGACTGCTAACCAAAAGGTCAGCCATTCAAGCCCACCAGCCATTCCATGGGAGAGAGACGTGGCAGTCTGCTTCCGTAAAGATTTATACAGCCTTGGAAACCCTATGGGGCGGTTCTACTCTGACCTGTAGGATCACTGTGAGTTGGAATTGACTCGACAGCAACAGGCTTGGTTTTTAACGGGTGAGGCACAGAAAGCACTGACCCAGTCTTTGAATTAACAAATGACAAAATTCATTCCTTGGATTTCTCAGAGCTAGCCAGGGACAGGGCTTTGACTAGACCTGATGGCCAAAAGGCTTTTAATGACCCTGTGTTTGCCCTTGCGTATCTTCTCTCGAATCACTGGCTTGAAAACATCCAACTACAGTTTCCAGGGAAAGAGCAAAACACACAAACTGGTTTTTCATAGTCAACAAAGGCAGCAGAAGCCAGAGAGTGCTATTTCCCACTTGGTTCTTAGCAGCAGCTAATGAAAACTGTAACTAGGTGAAAGCTTCAGAATTACACGAAAGACAGTAGATAACATCCTTTGAAAAAATTTTGAATTACAGACAGAAAGTTGATTTGAAAGTTACGGTAATCTAAATTATTACATTTTGGAAAATCCCATGTATCTGTGTTTTATCATTGTATCTGGGGGAAAAATTAAAGTAGGGTGGAAACTTCCTGAGAAGGCTTTTGAGGCTTCTAAAATGAAATGCTTGGAGTAACCACAAAGCAGTGACGCAGGCCCTTTAAGAATGAGTTCATTAATCGTAGAAATCACATTGCTAGATCACTGGACCTTATCTCAGAAAATCAAGCCAACATTTTTGCTATTTCAAAATAGTCTTTTGAGAATCCAGTGCATTGAGTAAGTACCTCTGTGGCAGGATGTTAGAGCGGTGATGCCTGAATCTGGTGATTTATGGTTGGAATTTAAATCTTTAACCCGGTTTACACGTAATAATTTAAACAGGGAAAAACTTGTTCTCGTTGAGCTATTCCCAGGCATAGATGCACACCCATGCTTGCATCATAGCATAGTGGTTGCCAGGCAACAAAACCAAATGTCAGCTTTTTTCATCAGAGCATATCATAGTGAGCTTAAAAAAAAACACAAACAGCGTTATGAGCTAAAACAGCTTCATCTCTGAGTTTTATTATGCCACAAATCAATTTATTTACCACAGTACAGAGCAGTAGGAAGCAACATGTACTTTCAAAAGTGAACGATGGGTAATATAATTACGAAAATGTCTACTGAATGTGTATCTAAAGCAGTGACTTTAAAAAGGACACTTGGTACATAACTAATCGCTGGCTTACTCCCCCTGCTCTCCCCACACAGACACACAGACACGTGGGCACGTACACACACTCAGACAAGGACGGTTTCTCATGGGTTAGTGTCATTGTGTTGTGGAAGACCATTACCTATAGTTTGCTTTGCCCTGGATATTGTTTATACCATTGAGAAAACCTGACTGAATATTTAAGAACAGCTTAAAATTAAGTGGTGTGTTTTTTTGTTTTTTGTTTTTAAATAGAAGGTACCCACTGCTGCCTTGTGGTTAGTTCTAATTTGAAAAAGCACTTAGTTTTGTGGTGAGAATAGAGTCAAAGATGAAAGATGTTCAAAGATAGCCCACAAATTTGGAGCCTGTTAAAAATAAAAACTTCAGGAGAAAACAGATTAGGGGAAAAGTAAACACTTTATGCCCCATCCATACCCGTTGCTATATGGGTATGTACATAGAACATTCATATTAGAATAATAACTATCACGAAGAAACTATGTGGCACAAACTGGCTGGGCCAGGTGGCCCTGGTTCTAGGTGTGACTTCTCAGTATCTGGCCTTTTCTAGTCCTGATCACCCAGCTGATCCCCAGACCAGAGCTCTGACAAGCAAGGACCAAAAGGGGAGAGGAGGGACAACTAAGAAAAACTCACTGAACCCCAACCTTTTTATCCCTAAGGTGGACATGATTAGAAAATGGGGCTGGGTGTATAAATTGGAGTAGAGCATTTTGCTACACAGTAATCAAAAGCATGAGCTTTGGGGTCAAGGGCACCTGGATTCAAATTCCAGCTCTGCCACTTACTAGTTGTAAGATCTGAGCAAATCACTTAACCTCTATGAGCCTCAGTTTCCTCCTCTGTAAATTGGGAAAGATAAAGTATGCCTTCCAGGTTGTTAATATGAAAACAAGACCACGTGTTTAAGGCATGGCACACGTGCCCAACACCTATTATTCTTATCTTTATTTCCTGAAATGATCTAGATTCTTCATCTTCTCTCTATCTAGACTGAGATGACAAGGAGGAGTGAGGCTGTGAGCCCCTTACAGGAGACATGTTCCTAGTCTAGGGGACTGAGGAACCTGCATTTTAATAATCTGGAAAACAAGTACTATGGGAGGGCACCGTTGGCTGACTTCCCCGTTCTCACTGTAGAAACCAAAACTCTGGTCCCTTTGCGGTCTCAGGACAGTGCTGGCCTTATCTAAGCCTGAGGTCCCCGTGAAGACTGGTTTGCTGTAATGAGGTGTACTTCCCAGACCCCTTTTCCATATACACCAAACAAAAAAGGATTCATTTCTTTGAAGGTCTGAGATCATCTGTGATTCTTTTCATTTAAACTCTGTTAGCTTTAAAAGTAGTAAAATTTTCTGTTTTTCTCTGGGCATTTATCCTTAAACTGAGGATAAATTACCACTTGACCCCCTTCCTTCCACTGTATAACATGAAAAACTGTAGAACAAAATTCCTTTGTACTGAGCTGGTAACATAAAGTTAGTTTTGGCCCTGTGGAGTCCGTCAGTCTCATTCTGAAAATACAGATAGATGTCTGTACACTTGCACTTGGCAATGATCTCCTGACAGTTAACAGAGTCCGTGTTTGTCATTTAGTTTGTGACAAGAAACCCTGATCTAGGCTGTCTCCCACTTACTGAGATGGAATAATCTTTATTTCACCAAAAGAAAATGTGTTAATTGTTTCTGAGAACTATGAGTGGGATGAGGGAGATCTCTTTTCTATCCAAGTGTGAATCGTGTGTTTCCCTTAAAGGGATTATATCCTTCACAATTGCATATGATTTTATGTGGCATCCTTTCTAACACAGTTTGTTCCTTTTCCCTTAGGCCCTTGATGGGTTCTTCTTTGTAGTGAACCTGGAAGGCAACGTGGTGTTTGTTTCAGAGAATGTGACACAGTACCTAAGGTATAACCAAGAAGAGCTGATGAACAAAAGTGTATATAGCATCCTTCATGTTGGGGACCACAATGAATTTGTCAAAAACCTGCTGCCAAAGCCTATAGGTAAGTGTTTATCTTCTGGTTCTGCCTCCCCCTGCCCCCTCCCCCACCCATACGTACACATTGTTTTGGTTGGAGGTGGGTAAACTAGAACTGTATTATGTTAATTGGGAAAAAGAGTGAGCAGTTTTTTAGGATTTAGGATTTAGTGTTAAGAATTTCAGATTAGAAGTCATGAAAAAAAAGACATCTTCAGGTGTTGATCTTGAACGATCATTTTGATACTATATTTAAAGTAAATGAAAATATAAATAATTCGTATGGAAAGTACTCATGGGGCAGCAGTTTTCATGGTTTTTTGGTTTTATTTTGTTATGTTGTAAGAAAGTGCCAAATTGCCTCCACCCTATTCAATGCCAGCTGACTCTTTTTGTCCATTTTCTCTATGACCACGTAAAAAGTAGAGGGGGTATAAGAAGTCTGAGATTTCAGTTTGAGTCCCGCGTGTGTAAAGAGCATGTATGTGGGTTTCTACAAAATAAAATGTTAAGGAACAAGTGTTGTATAGAGGTGTTCAAATGCTGTTAGCCCAGGAGCCCTAAATGGGCGCTTTCATTTCTCCAGTGGCTCAGTGGTTACCATCTTCAGATGCTGCCTCCTCACCCACTCTGCCTGTTTCAGATTTCCTGACTTCTCCACCTTATTTTGAAGACCCTGTCCAAAAGTGTGTGTGATTATTAAGGGCCATGTTTCGAAGTGGGTGATTCACAGCGTGGGCCCACTTTAGTTGCTGCTCTGCAGTATTGTTCCCACTTACTAAGTAGTTCTTTTTTTAATATTCTCACTTAAACTGATGATGCTAAGAATGTCTTCACAGATAAAAAGAAGTGCAGATTTTAGTACAGAATAAGGTCAAGTTCTGAGTTAGCAAATACTCCTATTCTTTTCCTTAAAACTATTTTATATTAGCTGGTCTTATTTTTTCCGCAGTAAGTAGGAAAACCAAAAAAAAAAAAAAAAAAAAAAAAACCAAAAAAATTGCCGTGGAGTCAATTCGGACTTACAGCAACCCTAGAGGACAAAGTAGAACTGCCTCATAGGGTTTCCAAGGAGCAGCTGTAGGGTTTGAACTGCTGACCTTTTGGTTAGCAGCCAATCGCTTAACCACTGGGTCATCAGGGCTCCAAGCAGGAAAAGGTCCTTTTTAATTTTCATTATTGCTAGCTTTTCCTTGATATAGATAACCCTTTGTTCAAAGTGACTGTAACAATAATACAAAATGTATTATACTGGTATGAGATTTCTTTATTCTATTCTTTAGTAAATGAACAAGAAAATGGGATTTCTTATTTCAACTAATATTGTAGATTTCTTCAATAATTTTATGACTTCCTCTTCAAAGGACCTATACTTATTAATTCACTATTATTAATTCACTTTTCTAAAGAGCTCATTGCCATGCTTTATATTGTACCCTTTTTTACTTTAAGCTTATTAACCTGAATTAATAAGAACTCTTTCCTTTTTGATGACTTTGTAGTCTCCATTCTATATAAGCTTTTAAAAATGCAAGTGCTGAAAAAAAAAAAAATCCTCCCAAATGTCTGCATAGATGTGTGAAACAACTATCTGTAGTTCCTTCTGTGATTTTAAAATGATTTCTTGTGGTTAGCTTGATATTTACTTTTTTTTTTTCCTTTCTCGGGTTTATTTCTTCTTTTATTCCTTTTTAGCTGAGTGGCCACGGGGTTAGCATTTGGCTCACTGTAACACCCAGATGTCTTTTTAAGAGTTTTCTGACTGTGACTTTTGAGAGTGTATTTGCTGTTCCTAGATAACTGGTCCTTTTTTTGATCCTGTCTCATTGTCCTACTGGTCATCTGGAAAACAAGGAAGTTGACCATTAATTCTCAAAATCAGTCATTCTTTTGTTTCTTTCATTGTTTTCTATAATCCATTTTTTTTAAAATGATGTCTTTCCTTGTTTTCATTCTCTCTCCTGAATTAATGTTACATATTTTAGCTTTGATGCTTAAGTAGAAGACTTGTGAAATCGTTTTTTACTTCAAAAGAAATAAATGACATTATCAATGTGTCCTCAAAGATTTTTCTGTCTTGTTGAGGAAATAAACATGAAACAATTAAAAAAGATCATAGTAGAGTACTTTGGCAACAGCTGGATTACAGAGTGTACACTAAAATTTCTGTAGAATTTGCGAAAAGAAAGATCTATAAGAGGAGACAGTGTAGGGTACCTAGAATAGTCGATTTGGTATTTACTACTGAAGAGCTCTGAGTTAGAATCAACTGGACAGCAGTAGGTTTGTTTTGTGTTTATTTGTTTGTTTTTTACCGAGGAGCTCAGCCTCAGAGCATGAGTACCTTCAAATGGAAGAAAGAGGCAGCCTGACATTTTAGATAGGGTGGCAGGAGCACCGACATGCGTGAGGGACTGGGTGTGGAGGAAGACGTGGGGAGGGTTGTGTTGGGGAATGTGAAAGACCTGGTCAGAGGGACAAGGTGAGGCCAGTTAATGAGATTTGGAATTATCGGTTTGAATGGACTTCATACTCTCACTCGGACTCATCAAGTCCAAATCCTTCGAAAGAATTTAATATGTGCTGCAGTCGATGCCACTTAGAGATTTTTTTAGAAGAGGGTGATATATCTAAAACTAGAATGTAAGTGAATCAAAGTAACTTTCTAAGAAATCAAAATTAGGAAGACCCAAAAGTAGACAACCACAGTATAGTGACCCTCGTAATAAATAATAAAGGCCTGAACTAGAAGAATGGAGAGTAAGAAGTGTAGAAGACATTTTGAAAATCCGATGTATTTTTCCTCCTCCGGATTATAAGACTATTTAAGGGAAGCGTGAAAGTACTGTGTACATAAATGTAAAATTACCATATTTTTTATATCATTTTGATAATTCAGCAACAGTGAATCTGATGTTGACTTTTTTATACTATTGGATTACCTTTGCCTTCCTCAGTGAATGGGGGATCTTGGACTGGTGAGCCTCCTAGGCGGAACAGCCATACCTTCAATTGTCGGATGCTGGTAAAACCTTTACCTGATTCAGAAGAGGAAGGTCATGATAACCAGGAAGCACATCAGAAGTATGAAACTATGCAGTGCTTTGCTGTTTCTCAACCAAAGTCCATCAAAGAAGAAGGAGAAGGTAGGGCAGAAATCTCTAGAATAGTCTGTGTGTTTATCCCTGTACTACATCTTTCACTCTCAATCTAAAATTAGTGGTCACATGAAGAAAAATTTAGAGGTAGTTTCTTTGTTCTTCTCACCTGCTTTACAATGATTAGCTTTCTGTGATAAATTCAATTTTTTAAGTCTTTAGACCAGCACTGTCTAATAAAATTTTCTGTGGTGATGACAATTTTATACGTCTCCGCTGTCAATATGGCAGCCACGAGCCACATGTGACTGTTGAGCACTTGAAACATGATTAGTGCAACTGAAGGACTGAATTTTTAATTTTATTAAGTGTAGATAGCCACATGTGGCTGGTGACTGCCATATCAGTGCAGTTCTACAACATTGGTGGTTAACCTTGCAGTGACCCTAGACTCACTTGAAAATCTAATGTAAGGTGTGTGCCATAGCCCTAGAAAAATGCACACAGGTACAGACATTTTTCACATACTTTTCAAGGTATTAATGGATTCGGTATAGCTTGTCCATGAGCACTGGATTCAGAATGTGGGATAATAAAACATAGTACTTTAGAGAGGTTAGAGATGGGAGTGGGGATTGGACGGAAGCGCAAACTATAAGCTCACAGGATGTTCCTCTTAAAGAAATAGTGATTACTGCACATCCTGCAAGCAGGCCATTCCACGCAGCTGAGTATCCCCCTCTGTAGTATGCGATGATATTATTATGAGAATGGAGGGGAAATGGCAGAGCACCACAAGTAAAGTGGACACATCATGGGTTTGTAATCAGACAGACCAGCTCTGTGACTTTGGGCAAATTCTTTCACTTTTCTGAGCATCGGTTCGTCTATTATCAAGTGAAATCGCTAATACCAATATCAGACTGCAGTAAGGATTAAATGACTATGCCTGAATCGTGGATAACATGTTTTTTTACATTTAAAATATGTAAATTTTTTTTAATTTAAATTTTATTGGAAAGAATATCAGAGCTGTTACAGATACTTAGTTTTTCAAAATTAAGTTTTTGCTTAGGTATGAAGTGTCAAATGATTTTATTCTCTTTTCTGCAACAGCAATTGCTGCAAATTCATAAAGCAGTATAAAAAAGGTATACTTTAGCTAATTTATGAATTTGTGCTTTACATTTAAAGGTTTTTGTGTCTTTAAAATCCTGTGTTAACATACTATAGCATAAGAGCAGGGCTTCTGAGCCTGGTCTGCTCTAGTTCAAATCCTGACTCCACCAAAGTTTTGTGTGATGTTGGGCAAGTTGCTTAAACTTTGTGCTTTGATTTTCTCCTCTGTTAAGTGGAAATAATGCCAGTACCTATCTCATAGAGGTATAAAGAGATTAAATGAGTTTATAGCCTGAAAAGCCACTCAAAAGATGCCTCACTTATAGTACAAGCTCAAAAAATTTAGCTTTTACTGTGTTGAGGATGATGATTACATTTTAATTTTGTGATACCAGTTATTACTGGATATGTTTCAAGACATTCTTTCCCAAATTTAAAGTTGAATGACCACAAATCAGTGACAGAAGAAGATACAAAACCAAAACCCATTGCCATCGAGTCGATTCCAACTCACAGCAACCCTATAGGACAGAGTAGAACTGCCTTTATTTTTTAATAACCTTTTCTCCAACATTATTGAAATTCAAAGGACTGTGCGATATGCTCTGAGCGTTCCAAAGATAAATAAAACATTTCCCTGCTCTCCAGAAGTGAGCACAGACATATAAAACAGCTGAAGTGGGGTGAGAAGGAAATGCTTAGTGTTGGCTATGTGAGAAGCTAGCTGTGGCCAAGAGTCTAAACTGTAACAGGCCTGTTTATGGCACACACTGCATTTCCCAGGTACCGTGGCTATGTTCTCCAACTGTGGGTCTACACTCACTTGATAGTCTTTGTCTTCACTTGCATATTGCCATCCTAAGGTTATTTATATACTTTGGAAGAAGGTGTATTTTTCCTGTATCTTAGATTTAGATCTAGTTTTTCCATATCCCAGTGACCCTAAGACTCAAGAAGCAAACCCTTGACGATGCAGAGCATCAGATTTTAGTTTTCTTTTTTTTGTATTTTGTTATGAAATAAGCTGGTTGCGTCTATCAGCCATTTACTAAGAAAGATTCCGTTTTTTTCAAACCTCACTGGAGAGATGGTTTCAGGTTGATAATCCTCTAGAGCAGTGGAAGATTTTTGTCAGGTGTTTGGTGAGGTGGCTGCCCTAGCCCATCCTGCACAGCACAGCCCTCCACTCCCGGTGCCTTCCCACTGGAGTCAAGGAGAGGAAAAGGCCGGCGAGGGGCTTTGCCGCTCTCTCCCTTGCTGACTGAGAAGGTTAGACGGTCGTAAAGACATTTTGGTTTGTTTGTATCACTAAAAAAGCCTAATGGGATAAACGTAATTGTATGATTTAAGATTTGCAGTCCTGCTTGATTTGTGTGGCAAGAAGAGTTCCCCTGAAGGAGAGACCAGTTCTGCCTTCATCAGAAAGTTTTACTACCCGCCAGGATCTCCAAGGTAATTTTTTTCCCAAAGAACTCATTTTAGAAAACTTACATATTGGTAAATGCAAGAAATACCTTTGACAGAATGTGAAGACACTAGTGATAGTGATTGTTTGTGGGACAGAGGTATCGAGGAGCTGGAGGACAGGGTGGGGACAGTCATTTTCACTGCATACCCTTTGGTACTATGAACCTGCACAACCTATTCTGAATAAATAAATTTAAGTCTTTTTTAAATTATTTCGATAAATAATTATCAGCCTGTAGGTATAATGCCTGCTGTTATTTAACAGGCAAGATCACTTCGCTGGATACCAGCACCATGCGGGCCGCCATGAAACCCGGCTGGGAGGACCTGGTGAGAAGGTGCATTCAGAAATTCCACACACAGCATGAAGGGGAATCTGTGTCCTATGCTAAGCGGCATCATCATGAAGGTAAGCATCTCTAAAGGCTATTTTTCTGGCAGTTGATTTTACTTAAATTGTTGCTTCCTCTGAAAGCTTTCAGTGATCCCTAAAGTACAGCTTTGGGGGCTTTGATCTCATGACCTTTGTGGTTCACATGTACCTGTGTCATCTGGCCCAGAAGATGCAGCATCTGCAGGAAAATTTCACAGGTGAACCTGTGAGACAGAAGGGTGTGCAGAAGGAAATAGACTAGGAAGCGACATTTCACATAGACAGTCAAAAGGAAAGGGAAAGAGGTCGTTTTGTTTGGTTCTAAGGCTTTTGGATATATAAGGCAAGATAATAAGGTACATCTCATACCATAAAATATATTATCTGAATCATAAGGCAAATTTGGAAATGAAAATTGCAAGATCAAATGAATCACTGGTAGAGGTAGCAGTGGGAGCCAAGCCCTCCTTCAAGATGATGACCAACAAAGACTACCCAGATCTGGGCCAAGGAGGCCCAGGCAGATGAACTGACTTGTCCGAGATCACACAGTTAATTCACACAACAGCTAAAACTAAACTCAAGTCTTCAAAGTCATATTCAGTAATAGTAGCAGCCGTTATTGAGCTGCTAGTCTTATCTGGCATTGCACCTTCTTCCATTATCTCACTGATTCTCACAGCACACCTATCAAGTCGGCGTTGTCACTCTCCTACAGATAGGGAAGCTGAGCCAGGTGAAGTGACTGGCTCAAGATTGTTCCACTAGTAGGTGGCCACGCTGGGAGCTCAGTCGGAGGCCTGGCCTGGTATTCACTGTGCTGTGCTGCTCCCAGAGTTCTTTCCATTGAGTCACTTTCTTCTCAAGTGAATTTTAGTTTTGTGTGAACGAAGCAGGACCAGAGATAATTCCTTTGCTTTAATAAGTGCTGTGCCAGGGGAGGAAACCCTGGTGGCATAGTGGCTAAGAGCTACAGCTGCTAATCAAAAGGTTGGCAGTTCCAATCCACCAGGCGCTCCTTGGAAACCCGATGGGGCAGTTCTAGTCTGTCCTATAGGGTCGCTATGAGTCGGAATTGACTCGACAGCAGCAGAGTTTTTTTTTTTATGTCGGGGGAGGGTGAACTTTTTTCTCCTTATCTTGTGATTCTTCTCAGGCTCTTTATATCTGGACAGGCTACACTTGGTTAAGATATGTAGACGCCCCAAGGAATTTTAGAGCAGCCCACGTGTTGGGAACTGGGAGCAGTGCCGTGTGCCGCGTAACTCAGCTTGCCACGTTTTTCTGCATAATTATTGAAAATAATAGTTTTATAATTTTAGTTGTCATCATCTGTTTAATAATGCACTGTGACCTTGGCATTTTACCTGTAGTGTTTGTAGGTTTAAGTGCTATACCTGATGGGTCACTTCACCAGAAAGCACAGATCGTAGTAAATTATCACTCTTTCCGTTCTCTGACTTTTTCTTCATCCTACTCATGTGATGCTCTCTAAGAAATAGTACCTCATCCAACAATTTGTGTCTCCCAGCATTTTCTTTAAGTTGGAAAAAAATAAGAAATATGCATAGTATATTTGACAGAAATCAATATTTAACCTACCATTTCACTAGATGTGATTTAAAATAAAAAGAATAACATCAAAAAATAAGAAATCACCATGAGCATATGTATTCACTATCCCTGGGTCCTTAGTACAGTGCCCTGCATTTAATTCTGTGGCTCTCTAATTTCAAACATTTTCCCGATTTCCTTACGAAAGAGTGTATACAGAGGTACCAGGCACTGAAAGACAATTCCAAGTAGACATCCCAACTTATTAAATAGGTAAGAAGGAGATGGTCATTTCCATTGAAAAATAATCTACTGGAAGGCTTTGTTTAAATGGGAGAACTTCCTAAAGGCATTCAAGTGCACGCTTACAGATACCTAGTTAGCAGAGATGTTTGATGTAGACCAAATGGGAATGAAAAATCTTCAGGGATCATAGCCAAGGCCAACAAATTTCTAAAATTATAAGCCATTGGAAATATGAGTCCTATTATAGAAATTCTGTTTATATCACCTTTTAGTAACATTATGTAAAGCAAGATACATATATGTACAGTAATTCATTTCTGGTACCGCCCCTTCCAAGGAACTTCATATAACAATTGATAGCAGGAGGTAATACCTAAATACTGAAACAGCAGAGGGGATTTCATAGGCAAATTTCCCAAAATGAAATTCTGCCAAGAAATCAGAATCCACAGTGTATACAAATAGTCTAGCCCACCACCACCACTCACACACATACGCACACACTTGTGGCACTTTTGGGGCATGGTGAATGTGCTTGGTTGCTTTAAGGCTAGCTACTCAACCCACAAAATTTGTGCTGAGGATTTTGTGGTAGAAACATGGCAGTCTTCTTAAAACAGTATGAAAAACCAAGAGTCCCTGATGGAGCAGGAGAAAGGTGGGGTGCAGGACTCAAATTCTGGTAAAAAGACCAGATTTAGTGGTCTGACTGAGGCTGGAGGAACCCAGGAGGACATGGCTCCCAGAGATGCCGTTAGCCCAGAACTGAAGCCATTCCGAAGCCAGCTCTTCAGATAAAGATTAGGCCGGACTATGGGATCGAAAATGATAACTTGTGAAGAGTGTGCTTCTTAACTCAAGTAGGTACATGAGACTAAATGGGCAGCTCCTGTCTGGAGGTGAGATGAGAAGGCGGAGAGGGTCAGGAGCTGGTTGAATGGACATGGGAAAGACAGGGTGGAAAAGAAGAGTGTGCTATCACAGTATAGGGAGAGCAACTAGGGTCACATAGCAATGTGTGTATAAATTTTTATATGAGAAACTGACTTGAGCTGTAAACTTTCACTTAAAGCACAATTTAAAAAAAAAGTAAGTTTAGTAGAATATTAAATTCAAATTTAAAAGTATTTAAATGGGAAAATTTCTCAATTAAACTTACCTTTTAATGTTTTTAAAATGCTTTTATTTAAAAGTTTAAAAAAAGAAAACAGTATGAAAAACCAAGCCAGTTGCCGTCCAGTTGATTCCCACTCACAGTGACCCCATGTGTCACAGAGTAGAACTGCACTCCATCGGGTTTTCATGGTTCTGACCTCTCAGAAGTAGATAACCAGGCCTTTCTTCCCAGGTGCCTCTAGGTGGGCTTGAACCACCAACATTCTGGTTAACAGCTGAGTGTTTAACCATTTGCCCCACCCAGGGATGTCTAAGACAGTACAAGAGGAAGCTAAATTATGACCACTTTTTTTCTGAATTGAAATGTTCTTTTTTATATATAGCATTAGACAATTTTTTAAAAAGTCGTTTTAAAAGATAACGCTGAAAATTATTTTAAGAGACACTATATTAACCTAGTTGATTTGTGTTATATTTTCTGGTATTATTTGTCTTGAAAATGCCAGCACTTGACTCTTTATCCAGAAGTTATTCAGAAGTTAAAATAAACCAATTACATGTCACTAAGAATAGTTTGTACTTTTATTGTTTCTATTTTCTGTTTAGCTTCTTTTCTCTGTAAAGATTATTCTGATTGTTTATCTTTTATTTCCTGTTGTCCTAACCACAGAAATAATACCTCTTATACAGTGAGAAACAGAATTGGTGGAAAGTAATGTGAGATGATTAATTGAACAGTATGTAACTTCTAGATGCATGTTCAGAAAATATCACATTCGATGTCATATATTTTATTGTAGTATTTGTATTAGTTTAAAGCGAAATTAAAGGCAAATTGTGCTCCAAAGGTATCATGTTTCTGAATTGTATTGTTTCTAACATTTTAAACAAATCACTGAAAAGCTTGTTTTGAGCTAATAAACAGTTTATACTCTGATTTGCCATGGTACTGAAGATTCAGAAAAGAAGAGTGTTTGAGGGTGCAGGCCTCATGAAAAACAGTATATTGAATTTATTGCTATTTTGAATGAAAAGTAAATGTGCTTTTAAAAATTTATTTGTAATGTTTTCATAGCACGAAGTATTACTTACAACTCTTTAACACATTGGTAGGAGAATATTACGCTTGATGAAGTTGACTAGGGTCATTATGTCTCTGCCCCCTCCCCACCCCACGCCCATGTTTTTTCTAAACGTGCGTTCTGTTTCCTTGCTTGCCTGCAGTGCTGAGACAAGGACTGGCATTCAGTCAGATCTATCGTTTTTCCTTGTCCGACGGCACTCTCGTTGCTGCCCAGACAAAGAGCAAACTCATCCGTTCTCAGACTACTAACGAACCTCAGCTGGTAATATCTTTACATATGCTTCACAGGTAATCCTACTTCTAAGAACTCATTTTCCCTTCCCAGATTAAGAGGAAATGTTACAAAAGCAACAAATCATCCTAGAGCTTTTCAGGCTTGTTAGGCATTTCTGTTGATCCACCCCCGTAATGTAAAATGTAAATATAAAGTTAAATTGCTGTTAACTGTTGGCTGAAAGACAACTCCTAATACGGGCAAAGTAGGACTATCGTTTGAATTTTAGCCTTAATATCAGTGATTTTTAAAATGCAGCCGGAAGCACACGAGGCTGGCATTAGCTTTGCTCTGCCATGACTAGCGGTTACATTGGAGAAGGGAAATTAGTGCGTAGTGGGGATACATGCAAGCCAAGAATATTGAAGCCACTAGTGTCCATTTCTGTTCTAATGTGTTTAAGTCTAAAACCTCCAAATTTATATACTTAGAAGGAATATTTTTGTTTTCAGGTTTAAATTAACTTCTTAGCATTCAAGTTTAAATGGAAGGGTAATAAACATTTCCATCAAAAATGAAAGTAAAGAAAATTGAATGTTGATTTTTTAAAGTAAACGTCATAAACGATATTGTTTTAGAGCACAAATCTAGGAAGGTGATTAAATTTCAAGTCAATATAAATATTTGTATATGTGCTATATAGAACTTTATGAGGTACTATCAGAAGATATATAAAGTTGCTCTGGTTAAAAAGTTCCATTTTATTACCTTTCTCAATTATTTACTTTTTTATTTAGCAATTAAAAAAAAAAAAAAACAGGCAGCCCTGTTTGCCAGCTGTTACGTTAATAAAATCTGACCTCAAACTGAAACAATTTGAAAGTGATTACAGATGTGCTAAACTTCACCCACCTAACTTGAAGCTGATGTTTGACAATTTGTGAAATCTGTTTTGTTTGGATTTGTGAACACATTTGGTCACTCAAAAGTGACGGCCAAGGCTGTAAGTTAGAGCTCCTAGGACTTGGAAAGTCATCTAGCTTAGAAAACCTGCTTTTAGTCATTAGTAAGGAGATGGGTGGGAGTTGTCTAGGAGCAGGGGAGTAAAATCACACACTCAAGTCACTCTGAAGTTGCCTTCCAGCCAAGCTGTCTGTCTTAGAGGCTCCTGCTCTGACTTGCAGAGGGGCTGGGGGAAGTGAGTGGAAATCTCTTTGACGGGGCACTCTAATGCTGAACAGTTTTAGTAGCTTTTTTGGCTCTAGAACCTGCAGAGTTTCTAATAGTTAGGGGTATGTTTTTCCCCCTAAGTTTGCTTTTCATCATGAGCCAAGTGGTACATATCTGAACGCTCCAGGCTTACAGATGTGTCTGTTGTTAGGGATTGGAATCTGGCAAGTAATTAAATACAGCTCTGCTTGTTTGGGTCATTTCTTTAAGATGGTACAAGCGCTCAGTTATTCATGATAATAAACTGTTAAATGAGAAAGATATATTATGTAATTGTAACCCCCCAATGTCTTATCTAGTAAATGCAATTTCAGCGTAGTAGTAGTCAGATTTAAACACAGCTCCTCTGTAAAACCACAGACATCTTCATGAGTTGATTGAAGAACATCCGTTTTGGTCCAGACCTGTACATGTTGAGTCTTGTCCGTAATTGCAGATGGCTTCATCAAAGTATTATCTTTCCTTTAAATGCAGTCTGTTCTTTTAAAGAAAGAAGCCGCCTCATTTTTAAAAATTACTAACAACTTAACTAAGTATTTTTCCTTTTAACTTTTTTTTTTTTTTTTCCACTTATTATGCAGAGAGCAGAATGTGTGTGTAATGAATCCGGATCTGACTGGACAAGCTATGGGGAAGCCGTTGAATCCAATTAGCTCTAGCAGCCCTGCCCATCAGGCCATGTGCAGTGGGAACCCAGGTCAGGACATGACCCTCAGTAGCAATATAAATTTTCCCATAAATGGCCCAAAGGAACAGATGGGCATGCCCATGGGCAGGTTTGGTGGTTCTGGGGGAATGAACCATGTGTCGAGCATGCAAGCAACCACTCCTCAGGGTAGTAACTATGCACTCAAAATGAACAGTCCCTCACAAAGCAGCCCTGGTATGAACCCAGGACAGCCCAACTCCATGCTTTCACCAAGGCATCGCATGAGCCCTGGAGTGGCTGGAAGCCCTCGAATCCCACCCAGTCAGTTTTCCCCTGCAGGAAGCTTGCATTCCCCCGTGGGAGTTTGCAGCAGCACAGGAAATAGCCATAGTTACACCAACAGTTCCCTCAATGCACTTCAGGCCCTCAGTGAGGGTCATGGGGTCTCATTAGGGTCATCGTTGGCTTCGCCGGACCTAAAAATGGGCAATTTGCAAAACTCCCCGGTTAATATGAATCCTCCCCCACTCAGCAAGATGGGAAGCTTAGACTCCAAAGACTGTTTTGGACTTTATGGGGAGCCATCTGAAGGTACAACTGGACAAGCAGAGAGCAATTGTCATCCTGGGGAGCCAAAGGAAACGAACGATTCCAGCATGCCCCAGCCTGGGAGCAGCGAGAGACCTGACGGACAGAACCGACTACATGACAGCAAAGGACAGACCAAACTCCTGCAGCTGTTGACCACCAAATCGGATCAGACGGAGCCTTCGCCCCTGTCCAGCTCTTTGTCGGACGCAAACAAGGACTCCACAAGTAGTTTGCCTGGTTCTGGGTCAACACATGGAACGTCACTCAAGGAGAAGCATAAAATTTTGCACAGACTCTTGCAGGACAGCAGTTCTCCTGTGGACTTGACTAAACTAATCGCGGAAGCCACAGGCAAAGAGTTGAGCCAGGAGTCCAGCAGCACAGCTCCGGGTTCAGAAGTGACTGTTAAACAGGAGCCAGTGAGCCCCAAAAAGAAAGAGAATGCACTACTTCGCTATTTGCTAGATAAAGATGATACTAAAGATATTGGTTTACCAGAAGTAACCCCCAAACTTGAGCGACTGGACAGTAAGACAGACCCTGCCAGTAACACAAAATTAATAGCTATGAAAACTGAGAAAGAGGAGATGAGCTTTGAGCCTAGTGACCAGGTAAGTTTTGTAATATGTTCTCCCAAGAGTACTAATCCACATTCTTCAAAGATTTTCTTTGTAGGGGACTTTGGAGGCCTCAGGTGATTAGATAAAAACAAGCTTCCTTCCTTGTTCTTACCTTGAATTCTCACTGAAACTGCGTGTTCCTAGCACAGAGTGACACTGGTTTAAAACAGAGGTTGGCAAACTTTCTGTAAAGAGCCGAATAGTAATGTTTAAGATAGCTTTGCAGGCCTTACGTCCTCTGTCACAAGTATTCACGTCTGCCGTGGTAGTACCAAAGCAGCCGTAGACGGCATAAACAGATGAGTGTAGCTGTGTTCCCATCAAAGTTATGCATGGACACTGAAACTTGAATGTTATATAATTTTCGTGTGTCACAAAATATTCTTCTTTTGATTTTTTTTTTTTTTAAATCATTAAAAAAATGTAACCCATTCTTAGCCCACGGTCCCTACAAAAGCAAATGGTGAGCTGGATTTGGCCCTCAGACTCTAGTTTGCCGACCCCTGTTACAGAAGATGCCTCAAACAGGAGATAGTCCCTTCCTTGAAAACAAGCTTTGTCAAAATGGACTTAACTGAATTATTTCTGATTTACTTTTCTCTCTTTTTAAGATCAGAGTTTAACTGATTCTCAAAACTAGTGAAGATAATTCTGCCTGTCTTTTTCTCAACTGCAGCTTCAATGATTGCAGAAGAATTTCTTAGACCATTTGGTATAAAAAATATTTAAGGGGAAATGGATAGTAGTAAAAGAGTGGTAAAGTTTGACTTGATGTTGGTATATCTGAGCCATCATGTATAAGTTCAAAACTAAAGTAATAGGTTATATTACCTGTTCAAAACTAAAGTAATAGGTTATATTATCTGTTCAAAAGTAAAGTAATAGGTTATATTACCTGTTATTCTTGTCTGAAAAATATATTTCCTAAAAAAATCCAGAAGAGCCAAAATGATGTTCAAAAATCATTCTTCATAGTACTCTAATGAGATAATGACATCACAGGAAAAACAGTAAGCCATTTAATTTTTTATTTTAATATTGTGATTTTGGAGAAAATTTATATAGTAAATTAGGCTCTAATTGAACAATTTCTGTACATACTATTCAGTAATATTGGTTACACTTTTCACAAATGTGTCAGGATTCTCATTATTTCCATTCTGGTTGTTCTGTTTCAATTAATCTAGCTTCCTTGTCCCTCCTTACCTTCTTATCTTTGGTCTAGGGTAAATGTTGACTGTTAGGTCTCATTTAGGTGATTGTTTAGAGAAGCACAGTACTCACGGCTGATATTTATTTTATGAGCCACTCTGTCTTTTGGCTGATAGGCGACCACCGGGAGTGGTTTGAGTTCTAAGTTTAATGGATATCCCAGGGTGATAGCCTCAGGAGTTCCCCTAATCTCTACCAGTCCAGTAAGTCTAGTCTTTTTTAGGAATTTGAGTTTTGTTCTGCATTTTTCCCCCATTCTATCCGGGACCATCTGTTGTGTCCCTGGTTGGAATGGTTGGCAGTTGGGCACCATCTAGTTCTTCTGGTCTCAAGGTAATTGAGGCTGTGGTTCATGTAGACTGTTAGTCCTGTAGACTAGTTTCCTCTTTGAATCTTTGATTTCCTTCTTTCTCTACATAGAGACCAATAGTTCTATCTTAGATGGCTGCCTACAAGCTTTTAAGACCCCAGACGCCACTCACCAAACTAGGATGTAGAACATGATCTTTATGAGCTGTGTTATGCCGGTTGACTGAGTTGCCCCCCAAGACTATGGTCCTGAGCCCTTAAAACCAGTAACCCAGTCCTGCAAGGTGTTTGGTTATGTCTAGGAAGTATCCATAACTGTGGCCCCCTACGTATGAATATATATGCAGCACACACAAACATGTATATACACTTGCCTGCAGAAACACCTGTAAGCGCGCACCCGTATATTCATGTGTGCCTACCTATACATATATAAGCGTACATATCCACCTATGTAACCACACACATATTTTTTGGTTGTTGTTACTATTGTTGCAAAATTGTATATGTTGTGGCTTTTACCAAAATCGTCCCTTATTTTTGTGTACTTCTTGGTGTCGTCTTTTACCTTGTGCTGACCTCACCCTTATACAGTATTGCCTTACTCATCACCACAGCTAACAAGTGTGTACTATCTAGAAACTGATTTCCCCTTCCAAGGAATATTGTTTTCTGTATGTATACCTGTTCGTGTCTTTTTATAATAGTGAAATCATCCAGTATTTGTCCTTTTGTGAATGACTTAATTTCACTCAGCATAATATCCTCCAGATTCATCCATGTTTTAGTATATTTTGAGAACTCATCATTATTCTTTATGGCTGAATGGTATTCCATCGTGTGTATGTACCATAGTTTGTTTATCCATTCATCTGTTGATGGGCAGGTAGGTCATTTCCATCTTTTTGCTATTGTGAATCATGCTGCAACGAACATAGGTGTGCACCTATCAGTTCATGTCAGTAGTTTTAGTTCTCTAGGGTATTTACCTAGGAGTGGGATTGCTAGATCATAGGCTCATTTATTTCTGTCCCAGGACTGATCATATAATCAATAGAAATTTCTGTTTCTAGCTTTTTGAGGAAGCAGCATACCGTTTTCCATAGTGGTTGAACCAATTTACAGTCCCACCAGCAGTGGAGCAGGGTTCCAGTCTCCCCGCAACCTCACCAGCATTTGTTGTTTTCTGTTTTTTTGATCAGTGCTGTTTTTGCAGGGGTGAGATGGTATCTTACTGTAGTTTTGATTTTCATCTCTCTCATGGCTAATGATTGCAAGCATCTTTTCATGTGTTTGTTCGCCACTTGAATGTCTTCTTTGGTGAAGTGTTTGTTCATGTCCTTTGCCCATTTTTTAAATGAGTTGTTTTTCTTTTTGTTGTTGAGTTGAAGGTTTTCTTTAATGTATTTTAGAGATTAGACCCTTATCAGATACATCATTCCCAAAGATTTTTTTTCCCAACCCGTAGGTTCTCTTTTTACTCTTTGATAAAGTTTTTTGATGAGCATATTTAATTTTTAGTAGGTCCCAATTATTTAACTTGTCTTCTGTTGCTCTTGCATTTGTAGTTGTGTTTGGTAATCTATTACTGAAACAAACTAGGTCCCATAATTTTGTCCCTATAAAATAGCACTTCCAGGAACTTCATAGTTTTGGTTTTAACATTTAGGTCTTTGATCCATTTTGAGTTAGTTTTTGTATATGGTGTTAGGTCCTGTTTCGTTTTTCTGCAAATAAATATCCAGTTTTGTCAACACCACTTGTTAAAGAGACTACTTATTCCCCCATTGAATGGAGTCTAACCCCTTATCGAAAATCGGCTACCCATCCTAAACCAAACCCATTGCCATCGAATTGATTCCAACTCATAGCGACCCTATAGGACAGAGTAGAACTGCCCCATACGGCTCCCAAGGCTGTAAATCTTTATGGAAGCAGACTGCCACATCTTTCTCCCGTGGAGTGACTGGTAGTTTCGAACAGCCGACCTTATGGTTAGCAGCCAAGCACTTCAACCACTGTGCCACCAGGGCTTCTTCAGCTGCCCATAGATGGATGTACTTTTTTCTGGGTTTAATATTCTTTTTTTTTTTAAACGGGTGGGGGTTATTTCTGCCATAATGCTTGGCATCGGGCATTTCCTGGGGGAATTGATGACTGGCTGGTGTTAATGATCCAAGACTTCACCTGCGCCATCAACTCTCCCACTTGGCCATTAATCCCTGCCCTGTACTTCAAAATCTTTTCTCAGGTCATGACTGGCTAAGAAATGAAGAAGCTATACGGGCCTTCCTACCTAAAATGTTTCATTAATTTGTTCTTGAAGTTTGTTTTGCAAGTGAATATTTTACGTGTCACTGTCTTCAGGGACTAGGTGTGGGTTGGGAGAGAAGAGAGGAGCACCCCTTTGCTGGTAACTTCTGAACTCTGCTGAGTCAGCAGAGCTAACCAGAGGCACATCTAGGATTTAAAGCAATCATCAGGAAAGCTGCAGCCGCAGATGCTTTTATAGCTGGGCTCCTTCCACGGTTCTAAGCACTTCGCTCCTTTGTATCTTTTACTTTGATGTCTTGACAGCTGCTATCATTCCTAAAAGGGAAGCTATAATTTTTCAAACCTTTGTGCCCTTCACAAGGAAAACAGGGCCAAACTATATAAAGATCTTTAGTGATTAATCCTTAAACTTAGATGTTCATGCACGGCTGTATGTATCAGCTATTCTGTAATTCTGTAAGATCATTAGGCACGGGGGAGTCAGGGTCTCAGCAGAAAACTGATCGCAGGGTCTCAGATTAAAATGAAGTATAAAACCATATTGACAACTGCAAATGTTTTCATCTCTTGAGGTTCACTAGAATTAGTAAACTAGAGTTAGTGGCAGGTCAGAGTGACAGGCACAGATACCGTCACTCAGGTCCCTACACACACTAGTGGGCAGGATGGTGACTCATCAGGTACACCTTAGCACAGTGTCTACAGTGGCCCCTTCTGCCATAGACAAATTTAACTTCTTTCCCAGGCCTGAGGCCCTAGGGGCTTAGGGAGTCAGGGAAGGGGGACACTGTTTGGCAGTTCTATATTTAGCTCTGTATTGCACCAACTTCCGGCAAGACACTGACAAGAAAAGAGAGGTTTAAAAAAAAAGTCCTTGAGTCACTTGCAGTTTCTAATTGATGTTTAGGAGAAACATTTGTCTCATCAAAATTGTCTCATCTGGGGAACATAAAGCCCAGAATGTAATTGGCACAAATCCGTCATGTTGGGTGGATCAAAAAGCAGTGTATAGACACACACACACAGTATATTTTTCATAATGAAACCCAGTTCTTGGTCCCACCCTCCCTCCACTTACATTGAAAACTCCGCCAGAAATACTGCTTCAGAGCAATTTTAACATCAAAAACATTGCAACTTGAAAAGAAAAGTTACCACAGGAAGTGTGCATTACCTAAATTTAGATCAAAGTTAGA